ATTTTCTTCAACGGAGAGTCTCCAGACTGATCAGCGAGTGAAACCTTGAAAGCTCGCGAGATCAGGATGCTAGGAAGCTGGAGTGCCCAGAGAGAACCAACACATGCACAGGGAGAACATGCAAACTCCATGCAGAAAGACCCTGGGCCAGGAATCGAACCTAAAACCTTCTTGCTGCAAGGCAACAGTGCTACCCACTGCCACACTGAGCAGCCCATATAAAAGCTCATCTCTAAATAATCATATAAAATTGTGGTGATCATCACTGATTAACTCTTTGGGGAAAAACATCAGAGGGGCATCATCTGTTTCATTTAACAAACCCATCGATGTAGAAACACTGATTTCAGTATAATTGATGCATTATTTTCAACTGTGGTGAAAGAATAACATCCATTTATCTGATCAGGCGGCTAAAATAATATATTCAAAAAACTGTACTTCTGAGTTTTCATTAGAGATGCTTTTTTCTGTCCATGTTTAACAGAGACGATTAGATCAGTGATTATTTGTATTTTTGGAAGGATTTATAATCTGTATTGTCACCTCTTCTCTCTACCGTCCGGATGCATTTCTCCACAAACTTGGGAATGGTGGAGCTTTCCCTGCTACAGAGGACGTCCAGGTAGCAGCCGAACACATTGTCTGCAGGAGAAAAACAACAAGTGTTCAATAAACATCTGCAGAAATATTTCATGGTACATAACCACAAGTACAGAAACTTCTAACGCTAAAATTGTCAGTGAAATAATTAGATCTAATTAAGTAGGATCTTAATTAGATTGTTCTATTACAACTCTTAATCATATTACATCTCTTAATTCCAAAAAAGTAAAAAAACAACAACTATGAAACAGACTTTATTTCCAAGCTGGATGATGTTTTGCTTCCCATCCAGGAAGCTTTTCCAATTAGCATTGAGTTCAGAATTAGCATTAAATTCGAAGCTCTATAGAACTCAGCGCTAATTCTGACATTTTTTATTAAAAAAGCTTCCTGGGTGGGAAGCGAAACATCTTCAAACTTGGAAACAAAGTCCAGTGGATTGCTTTTTAACTTTATTTTCCTTTTTTGGAATGACTATGACCTGGATGACTGAGAATCTTCACAAGCAAACTTCTCTAAAGTTTTATATCTGAACTATAAAAGTGAGCATAATTAGGAGACATCCTGAGCTGTGAAGCATTCAGATCTGAATGCATCTGGACGGGCAAGAAACCCCCTGAAGTTCCTGTCCTAACTGAACAGAATTGGACCATTGTTTTGTTTTTTCGTACCTCTGATATACCCCTTCTCTTTGACGCTCTGCAGCGTCGGCCTCCTCTGCAGGAAACGTCTCAGTTTGCTCCGGATCCGGCTCTGCTCCGAGTCTGCTCCTAAGTTGCTCCTGGTGGCTGAAAAAGCAGCAGAAGAAAAAATTAAGCTGGATCTGGCAAATAGACAGGCTTTTATTTTGAAGTACCTGATAAGAAACTGTAATAGCTGATTTTAACAAACAGCAAACAATGCTAGTGAAGCTCTGAGAACCTTAAATCATTTCAGGAAGACTCACATGCTCTCTTCTTATCCTCTCTGTCTGAGCCTGTATCTTCATCATCATCGCTTAGATGTTCCGGTTCCTGAAGGAAAGAACAAAGCAGCAGCTCAGATCTACCACAGTGCTCTGAACAGTTTGTTTAGGTGGAACTTTGGATTTAACTGAGGAATCATACACATCCAGACAAGAACCATCTGTAGAAATAAAAAAAAAGTATTGTTTTAATCTCTGAAAACCTTGATAGGATGGCCTAGCAGGAGTCTATAGAGATCCCAGTACAGTGATGTAACTGGAAGCTATTTATCTCTATCGAATTTAAACGGAGGATCTTAAACTCAACATTGAATCTGTCTGGAAGAGTTTTGATAAAAAGTCTGGTAGCTGAGTAGCTATTTTTAGGCCAGATGATTAAAAGCACTAGTTAATGTTGATAACTGCTCAGTAAACAGGTACTGATGTATGTTTTTTTTTTTTTTTTTTTTACATGTTTTTCTTTCTTTTTTCCACACTGAAAGACCCAGTTTGTCAGCCTCTGAGGCCCACCACAGGTCAGGAAACTATAGAGGAGTTAGAATCATTGGTTCTCATGTAAAACTTTTGGTTTGAGAAGAAAAAGGTCAAACACTGAAACATCACAGATGATTCCCAGATGATTCTTTCAATTGGTGCAATGAAGCCTTATCTACGGAAGGAAATGCGTCTCATAGCAGTAACAGAAATTATATTATAATTAGGAGTGCTAAATATAAACATTCAACTAACAAACTGAATAAAATGATCCAAATATGAATATTTATTCTGCTAACATACATTCTGCCACATTGTTGTTGCAAGAATTGAAATTTTGAAAAAAAAAAGAAAATGCAGTCCAGAAATAATAATAAAAAAGCACTTCCTTATCAAATAAAAGTTTTGGGATTAGCTTTTCTGTTTTCTCAGATTTATTTATTTACTTTTTCACTTTTTTCCGTTATAGTTCATTTTTTCCATTTTTTTTTTCAGATATAATATTTTTAAATTTTACTTTTCCAAAATTCTGTTTCAGATTGAGTTTTAGAAATTGCCTTTTTTTCAAATTACGTTTTACAGACATCCTTCTCTTAACTTCTGGGGGCACATTTTCCTCTTTAGTAAAGAGTGAAGATGCATTTCTATTGATTTTCATGGGTTTAGAATGAGAAGTTTTACTGGGCTTCATGTGAAAAGAATTTGAAAAATATGAAAAAAATAAAGTAAAACTTTTTATGCTTAAGACTTTCTTTTAAGTTTTCTATCAGCTGTGCTGCTGCCATCAACACCTTTGTTTCTAGATGTTGGAGCTTGGCCTGTTTTCCAGTGTAGTCCTGTTTCTCTGACTGTGACTAACTGGATGTGCTCTCTTCATCCTCTGACATGGGAGCTGGCTCGGAGCTCGTCTGCCTGGCTGTGTGTTTCCTGGACGGGGCCGCCTGTGGAGCTGGTTGACAGTTGCCTTTTGTATCTATGCTTCTTTTTCTATGTCTGCTTCTGTCTCCTTGAACCCCAGTGGGCCTCAGCAGATGGCCGCTCACACTGAGCCTGGTTCTGCTGGAGGTTTCTTCCTGTTCAAAGGGAGTTTTTCCTCTCCACTGTCGCTACAAGCATGCTTAGTGTGAGGGATTGCTGAAGAGTCAATGAGTTTTTCTTAGATAGAAAACTTTGAATCAATTTGACTGTACGATCTGGTTGAACTGTAAAGTGCCTTGAGATGACGTGTTGTGAATAGTCACTATATAAATAAACTAAATTGAATTGAATTTCAGAATCCTGGTTTTTATAACATTTACAAATGGTGTTCTTTCCTTGCAACAGTAATGGAACCTAAGTTTTCTATAAATTAGCAGCGGGCCAATTAAATATGCCCAGGGGATTGGGCCTAATGACTGTTCTGGGTATTTCAAGAGTCTCATAGTTTTGAGAACTCATTAAGAGACATTGAAGGCTCCTGGTCTACCTGCAGAATGCATGGGTTTGGCAGTAAGGTGTGTTGCTGTACCGGCTGGTGAGGCGTCAGCTGAAGGATGGTGTCCTGGATGACTTTGCACCAGTCTGCGATGATGCTCTCAGTATCGTACTGCATCAGATACTCGCAGCCCTGTCGAGTCTTTAACTGAAGACACGCACAGCACAGTTATAGACTGTCTGATGGACTGCAACCTTGAAATCAATATGATAATTTGGCCTCACCTCCAAAACAAACTTCTTTGATGACTTGTCTTTTGAGGCCCATTGAACTGTCGCTCCTCTCAGTTCCACTGTGTACTCAGGAACAATCTGTGCAGCTTTAATCTGGGAGAAGAGCAGAACTCCATTAAAACCATCATTTCTGTTTGTCTTCGGGCTTCTGTAGCCTTGAACTGTCTATGGAAGCATCCACATTTGGTTGGCTGAAAACTGGGAGAGAGAATCTCATCTTATAATCATTCATCTAGTCTAGGCTGTTTCTATAGAGCCTTGGCTTCAGTTAAAGCCCTGTACCGTAACAGTTGAACAGAATAATATGAAGGATTTCTTAGTTTAACCACTAACCACCCACCTGATTTTAGTTTGTGCCCAAAATTAAGATATATCAAAATGGCATTGCCAATCAAAAGTACATCTTCTAACAGTTATAATATTTATTGTTCCTTTAAGACCTTCATAAAGTCTTAACAACTAATGGTCTAGAACACTTTACTAGAGCGAGTTCTCCAGAGCAAATAGCAAATAAATTGAGAGTGGATCCAGACGGTCAGTCAGTTCGTACAAAGCAGATCGGTTCTTACATTGTTCCCAGCTGGAGAAAATTTGGGGTCTTTGTGGAAAGTAAGAATCCCACCATGGAGAACTGTCCAGGACTGACTCCAGTTCTTCCTGTTCAACATGAGCAGCAAACATGGAAAACATTTAAACATCAATGAAATAAAAGGTTACTTTACAAATTCACAGGTCAGTCAAACTGTAGCTTCTGGTTCTCACCTTATCTTTTTGCCATGATCAACCACTTTGGTCTTGTTAACAATTCCTGCCTTTTCCAGCAGAAGGCACTATAGAGAAAGAGAAGTCCAGGTGAGTTCTCAGGTTTCTGCAGGTTGGCAATGAAATGCGACTCCTTGGTAAACATGGGAGTGGAGAGTGAGAGTCTGAGTCTACCTGAGGGCTTTTATTCACCTCAGTCTCTTCATTCAGCAGTCTGCTACCCAGAATGATTTGATAAGTTCTGACCTAATGATTTGATCTGAATATACTCTACTTCTATTCAGCTAAAGGTTTATAAGGGCCTCACCTTTAGAAAGCACAATGCAGATTAAAACCGTGCCAAAGCTATTCTGGGTTCAGGTTAGAGATCTGTGTTGCAGGGTCGTTTGCTGCCAGAGTAGAGTTCGTAACAAAGGCATTTCTGATTTTGAATTGTGATTTTAATTGTATATTTCAGGTTAATGAAAGGTAAAGCCTTTTGGAGAACATAAAGCTCAGCCTGTATAAAACACCTCTGGAGGAGTTTTGGCATGTTTCAAAGTGTCAGACTTTAGGTTTTTTTATTGCTACTGGAGGCAAAGCAGCTCTGAAGAGAACGGAATCTTTGCATTGACATTCTAATTCCTATGATGTTATGATCTTAATTCATAAAAACTGAATTAGAATCATCATATCGGTTCTAAAAGATGTAATTTGAGAGGGCAGGATAAAACAACAAAGATCATTTTAGGATATTTTTTCTGCCCTTTTCTGATCTGATCTATCTTTATGTACTTGGATGTTTTAAACACTGGTGGATGTTTATAGACATGTTGTTGACAGACCTGCTGGATATTGATAGACGGTAGGATGTACAGAAGCATGTTGTTCAAGTTTATATATATATGATAAAAATGTTAGATGTTGAGGAATATGCTGGATGTTTAGGAACATGTTGATGGGCAAGTTGGATGTTAAGGTGCATGTTGGATGTAGAAGGACATGTTGGATATTGAGGATAAGGTTGGATGTCTGGGGAAATTGATGTTTGCGAAGATGTTAATTTCTGAAGAACATGTTGGATGGTGATGGACAAGTTGGATGTTAAGACACATGTTAGGTACTGAGTGATATG